GAGTACTTCTCCAAATAAAACATATTCTGTGTGGACGTAGCCAACACCAGAATCAAAGTGTGAGGGCGTAGCCTCGTGCAAGAAGAAATCTAAGTAAAATTAAACAGTATCTGGTGACATAAAAGTATAAAACACATACAACCGAAGATAACAGACTAACAACTAGGAAGGCTTGCTAAAGCCTTAAGAATAGCACCGCGATAACTGCGATACAGCGTGTATTGCGCTCTACGATTGAAATGAATACCGTCTGGTAGAAACGGAGATTTTACGCGCTGTAAGAATCCCTTATGACTCCAGCAAAAAACGTTGGGAACACCGTCCAGAACGACCTCTAAATATTGGTTCAAAATAAACGCCTGCCTGTTGAACTCCGGGGAAGCTGCCCGATGTGTAATGAGGCAAACCCCTACTATCTCAACATAAGGGAGCTGAAGTAAAAGATGAACGAGGTCATCGATTTTGGAACCCACTACTTCGGGTTTGCTATGGCTAAGGTCGTTAGTACCCACTTCCAAAATTACAATGGCAGGCCGAAATGAACGAACTTTATCTAAATCAAACGCGATCAACTTGTCTACTGTGCGTCCCCCAATTCCATGCCCTTTGTATATTAAAACTAATGGCCGCACGGACGTCGAAATTCGAGCGCAAATCGCGATGGAGACGTTTGACAAACGACTGTCCAAAAACAAGAACTTTTGGGCGTGTCAATTCCATAATACCCAAATTAAAAGTATCAAAATATAAGAATAATATAAGAATAATAATAATTGAAAATCTCACCTGTATAAAGGTAAAAGAAAGAAGTCCAAAATGTCAAAGAAAATTCGTATGTCTTCACTCGATCACGAGAAAGGTTGAATTGAGAAGTGAATAACTTTGTTTTGCTTTTAGTAGCTAAAATTTGGCCTTGACTTTATGTTTCTTACGTAGGTAAAAGCACCGGAATTTCCTTCTCCGCCAAGTCCCACCTTAATCTGCCAGAATCCAATCTAACTATTTCCTACTTTTATCTTATCACTATAATTCAGGCTTGACATAAAAAAACATATTTCCGTAGGAAATATTTTTATTTGAATAATTGAATACAGTTGAATGTGAGGTCCAATCTAAGGCCGAATCTGGGGCTACCTTCACAGTGCTAAAACGACTGCTATCTCTAAGCGAAGGCATGGCTGTAAATCTACTTACGAAGTTTTGAACATTCAACCAGGGCGCTATAAACCTACGCGCGCTTAATATAGTCATAGTTAATGACCAGAACACAAAAACGGAAGCCGTCTCAAATTTCAACACTTTGATTTATGACATATATGTCTCCCTTGGATGCCTCGAAATTTCTCCCATTTATACACTAGTCGTCTATTTCTCTTACATTGGTGTTACTACAGTAAGAAACTGTTGCTTGCAGAAATAAAAGCCTACAATGAAGACTTTTCTGTCAACGCCGCGCGATAAGTTCAGCAAAATTCAATTTTTATTACCTCGAACATGTCTGTCAAATGTGATATCTTGCCCAATACTTTGAATTACGTTTCCCACATTAGAACCGCATTGTGACATATCATATATATTCATATTATATTTTTATTTATTACCTCGAACATGTCTGTCAAATGCGTTTAAATATATTTTGCCAAATACTTTGAATTACCTTTCCCACATGAGAACCGCATTGTGAGATATCATATATTCTTATTATATTTTTATTTATTACCTCCAACATGTCTGCCAAATGCGTTTTAATTAAAATATTTTGCCAAATACTTTAAATTGCGTTTCCCACATGAGAACCGCAACGTGAGATATCATATATTCATATTATATTTTTATTTATTACGTCCAACATGTCTGTCAAATGCGTTTAAATATATATTTTGCCAAATACTTTGAATTACGTTTCCCACACGAGAACCGCAATGTTAGATATAACATTATATTTTTATACACATGCTATAGTTGGCTAAAGTGTATGTAAGTAATAATAAAATATAGCAATGTAATATCTAATATAAGCATCCTACACCGAATGACACCCCGCGACCATCATACACCATCTATACCATCTTTACCATCTGACAGCTCTTCTCTGTATAACCACCCTACACCATCATACACCATCTGACAACCATCTGACACGCTTCGACCATCATACACCATCTGACACATTTCGACCATCATACACCATCTGTACCATCTTCACCATCTGACAACCCTTGCCTGTATAACCACTCTACACCATCATACACCATCTGACAACCATCTGACACACTTCTACCATCATACACCATCTGACAACCATCTGACATACTTCGACCATCATACACCATCTGTACCATCTTCACCATCTGACAACCCGTCCCTGTATAACCACCCTACACCAACTGACAACCATCTGACACACTTCGACCATCATACACCATCATACACCATCTGACAACCATCTGACAAACATATGACACACTTCGACCATCATACACCATCATACACCATCTGACAACCATCTGACAATCCTCGACCGTCATACACCATCTGTACCATGTTCACCATCTGACAACCCTTCCCTGTATAACCACGCTACACCATCTGACAACCATCTGACACACTTCGACCATCATACACCATCATACACCATCATACACCATCTGACAACCATCTGACAAACATCTGACACACTTCGACCATCATGCACCATCATACACCATCTGACAACCATCTGACATACTTCGACCATCATACACCATCTGTACCATTTTCACCATCTGACAACCCTTCCCTGCATAACCACCCTACACCATCTGACAACCATCTGACACACTTCGGCCATCATACACCATCATACACCATCTGACGATCATCTGACACATTTCGACCATCATACACCATCTGACAACCATCTGACAACCATCTGACACACTTCAACCATCATACACCACCGTACACCATCTTCACCATCAGACATCAGATGCCTGTATTGGACATTACTCTCAAAGATGTTCGAAACGTACCTGGAAAACTACACTACACAGCCGACACTCTGTCCAGGAAGATACCTGAAAGCACAGTCCAACCAACCGTAGAAGAAAATGAAATCACCATCGCCGACGGGTTATTGCTCAAAGGAACAAGACTGGTCATTCCATCCCGCTTGCAACGCCAAATCCTCAACCAAAAAAACGAAGGTCACCAAGGTATCAGCAAATGCAGAGAACGAGCCAAAATATCCGTTTGGTGGCCAGGACTCAGTGCCCAAATTAAAGGCATGGTCGAAAACTGTACAACATGCAGCAAATACAGACAGCAGCATCCAGAACCATTGATGCCAACGCCACTCCCTCAAAGACCATGGCAATTGATTGCAACAGACCTTTTTATTCTAGAAAAGGTTACTTACCTACTGGTGGTAGATTATTATTCTCGCTACGTCGAAGTTGTGGCATTACCTAAAAGTATAAGTTCATCGAAGATCATTCAAGCCCTGAAAACCATTTTCGCCAGGCACGGGATTCCTGACGAGGTACGTTCCGACAATGGGCCTCAATATCATAGTGACGAATTCGCCCAGTTTGCAAAGCAGTGGGGATTCAAACACAGTACCAGCAGCCCTCGTTATCCTCAAGCGAACGGCGAAGTGGAACGAGCAGTAAAGACAGTGAAAAACATCCTGAAGAAGGAACAAGATCCAAGAAAAACGCTACTGGCATATAGATCAACACCATTAGCAAGTGGATACTCGCCAGCAGAACTCATTATGGGAAGAAAGATAAAGTCGGCAATACCAATAACGCTACCACATTTAACACCACGACTGCCAAACCAGAAACTCTTCGTAGAAAAGGAAGAAGTATATAGATCGAAGCAGAAAAAGAACTTTGACAATCGCCACAAAGCTCAACCATTAAAACCTCTACCACCAGGAGCAACAGTTTACATCACAGACATGGATTGTACGGGAACAGTAATTAGACCATCAAAGAAACCAAGATCATATCTGGTTGATACTCCTACAACGGTAGTAAGACGAAACCGGGTACAGCTGCAAAACATTCCCAAGAACATTGATAAGGAACAAGACGAACAGGAAACAATACCATCATTAAATATAAATAGCAGACCTAACAGAATTAAAACATTGTCTTTGAAAGCAAGGGAAAATCTTGGAATAGAGTAGTTGACATTCAAAATTATTAAAACATTAAAGTTACAAATAAGATAAGCGAAAGACAGAGCTAAGTTGACATTACGTTTTATATCTTTAAGAAATGGGAGATGTAATGTGATTCAATTAAGATTAACTGTTACTAATATTAACTATTACTAATGACGGGGCCACGTGTATATAAACTAATGTATTGATATTAAAGTCTCTTTCAAACCTTACTACACTATAAAGGCAGGGATTCGAGCTAATACACGTATTACTAACCATAGTGCGGGAAAAACACATAATGTGCCACCAACACATATTGCTCAAGTTACAGGTCACAAAAATCTTCAATCTATAAACAATTATAGTTGTTTACGTGAAGAACAGCAAGAAGCCATTTCATCGTTGTTGTCTACAGACACTTCGTCGCCATCACAAACGGATGAGTCGCACTCAAGGGCATTAACTCTTCCTCTTAAATCAGCAAAGCAGCACAATGAAACAGAAAGTTTATCGATGTTCAAAGGTAATTATATCACTGGTGGTACTTTTAACATACACGTTGCGAGTTCTACAGCGTCAAATAGTCAAACTTTAATAACCGATAGTCCCAAGAGAAAATACCGTAGACTGTGCCCTTTAGACAGCAGCGACAGCAGCCAAGACAACTACTGTAAGTCAGTTGAATTTTTAAACTTTTTGAATACGAGTTTGTTTGATAAACATGTAGTATGAGTGAAATGTAGTAGCCTATTTTTGATTTTTTTTGCATGCATTTAAAGGTTTGTTATTTAGTTTTTTTCGTGAAGTTGAAAGACGTTATTTTATTAATAATTAAAGCATTTGAAGTTTATGAAAATGGATATTTTATTTTATTTTGCTTAAAAAGACTGTCCTTTACATAATAAACAGAAAAATACATGGGTGCTTGGAAATACCAGATTTATTTCACGTGTTGAACATGATATCATATTCAACACACGAAATAAATCTGTTATTTCCGCGCACCCATGTATTATTCTCTATTTATTCAAACAAACATAAGCTCACCTTTAACAGTTTCTTCCATTCCATTTAATGCAATAACTTCTTCCTCTTGAGATTGTTGCTCTTTTGCAATTTCCATGGCCTTCTTATACTGGTTAAATGACATTTCAAACTGTTTGTTTAATCTATATGATTTTCCTAACTCAATGAATATTTGAATTTCTCGTAATTTTTCCACTCCCTCACTTTCAAATTTTACGGCTTTTTCAAAGTATTCAATATCATGGTATACAATTCCCATTGTAAACTGAGTTTTCAATCTATCAGCATATTCTAAGGCAACGCCCCGCTCTTGCACAATTTCCAAGACTTTCCGGTAGTACTGAATAGCCGTTTCTAATTGATTGCTCAATCTGTAAGCATGCCCCAACCCATTGTACGCAACTGTCTCCTGTTCTTTATCTCCACGCTGTTGTGCAATTTCCGAGGCTATTTGGTAGTGATGAATAGCCGTTTCAAATTTATTGCTCAATCTATAAGCATGACCTAATCCATTGTGGGCAAATGTTGCGCGTTGTTCCTCCCCACGTTCATATGCAATATTCACCGTGTTTTGATGGTATCGAGTAGCCGTTTGAAAACGATCGTTCAATCTGTAAGCATCTCTTAACGCATTGTACGAAACTGTTTCTTGTTGTTCATCTCCACCCTGCTGTGCAATTTCCACGGCCTTCTCGTAGTTTTAAACAGCCATTTGAAGCTGATCGTTCAATCTATAACCATGTCCTAACCCAATGTAAGAAACTGTTTCCTGTTGTTTATCTCCACCTTCTGGCGCAAATTCCAAGGCTTTCTGATAATATTGAATAGCTGTTTGAAACTTAATGTTCAACATATAAGCATGTCCTAATCCATTGTATGCAACTGTTTCCTGTAGGTTATCTTCATGTTCATGTGCAACTTCCACGGCTTTCTGATAGTACTGAATAGCCCTTTCAAACTCATTGTTATATAAATAAGCATATCCTAACCCATTGCACGCAACTGTTTCATGTTGTGTATCTCCGCGTTCTTGTGCAATTTCCAGGGCTTTCTGATAGTGACAAATAGCTGTTTTAAGGCGATTGTTAAATCTGTGAGCATATCCTAACCGATTGTAAGCAAATGTCTTCATGTGCAATTTCCAGGGCTTTCTCAATATATCGAATAGCCGTTTGAAACTGATTGTTCAATGTATAAATATCTCCTAACGCGTAGTAGGCAACAGTTTCCTGTTCTCTATCTCCTCCCTGCTGTGCAATTTCCACGGCCTTCTCGTAGTTTTGAATAGCCATTTGAAGCTGATCGTTCAATCTATAGCCATGTCCTAAGCCAATGTAAGCAACTGTTTCCTGTTGTATATCTCCACCTTCTAGCGCAAATTTCAAGGCTTTCTGATAGCATTGAATAGCTGTTTGAAATTTATTGTTCAACAAATAAGCATGTCCTAATCCATTGTACGCAACGGTTTCCTGTAGGTTATCTCCACAATCATGTGCAATTTCCAAGGCTTTCTGATAGTACTGAATAGCCGTTTCAAATTCATTGTTATATAAATAAGCATATCCTAACCCATTGTACGCAACTGTTTCATGTTGTGTATCTCCGCGTTCTTGTGCAATTTCCAGGGCTTTCTGATAGTAACAAATAGCTGTTTTAAGGCGATTGTTCAATCTATGAGCATATCCTAACCGATTGTACGCAACTGTTTCCTGTTCTTTATCTTCATCTTCATGTGCAATTTCCAGGGCTTTCTCAAAATATCGAATAGCCGTTTGAAACTGATTGTTCAATCTATAAATATCTCCTAACGCATAGTAGGCAACAGTTTCCTGTTCTCTATCTCCTTCCTGCTTTGCAATTTCCACGGCCTTCTTGTAGTTTTGAATGGCCATTTGAAACATGTTGTCATACATATAAGAATGTCCTAACCCATTGTACGCAACTGTTTTCTGTTTTTTACTTCCAAGCACTTGTGTAATTTCCAAGGCTGCGTGATTGTGTCGAATAGCCATTTTAGGTTGACAGTTCAATCTATAAGCATCTCCTAACCCATTGTACGCAACTGTTTCTTGTTCTTTAACTCCACATTCTTGTGCAGTTTCCACGGCTTTGTGGTAGTAATCAGTAGCTGATTGAATCTGATTGTCCAATTTATAAGCATGTCCTAAACGATTGTACGCAATTGTTTCCTGTTGTTTATCACCACTTTCTTGTGCAATTTCCAAGGCTTTCTGGTAGGATTGAATAGCCATTTGAAACTGGTTGTTCAATTTATATGCATGTCCTAACACGCTGTACGCAACTGTTTCCTGTTGTTTAACTCCACCTTGTTGTGCAATTTCCAGGGCTTTGTGATAGTATTGAATAGCCTTTTGAAGTTGATTATTCAATCTACAAGCATGTCCCAACCCATTGTAGGCAAATGATTCCTGTTGTTTATGTCCATATTCTATTGCCATAGCCAAGGCTCTCTGATAATATATAACAGCAGTTGGAAACATGTTGTTATACATATAGGTATGCCCTAACCCATTGCAGGTTTCAAGTTGGTTATCGCCACGTTTGTGTGCAATTTCCATGGCTTTCTGATAGTACTGAATAGCCGTTTCAAACTCATTGTTATATAAATAAGCATATCCCAACCCGTTACACGCAACTGTTTCCTGCCGTTTATCTCCACATTCTTGTGCAATTTCGAAGGCTTTCTGATAGCAATGAATAGCCATTTGTGGTTGACTGTTCAACCTGTAAGCTTCTCCTAACCCATTGTACGCAACTGTTCCCTCTTTTTTATCTCCAAGTTCTTCGGTAATTTCCAACGCTTTCTTGTAGTAATGAATAGCTTCTTCAAACAGATTATTATACTTATAAACATGTCCGAAACCACTGTAGGCAACTTTTTGCTGTTTTTTATCTCCACGCTTCAGCGCAATTTCCAAGGCTTTCCGATAGCACTCAATAGCTTTCTCAAACTCTTTGCACAATCTATAAGCATCTCCTTATTCATTGTGCGCAACTGTTTCATGTTCTTTATCTCCACGTTCTTGTACAATTTGGAAGGCTTTCTGATAGTACTGAATAGCCATTTGAAGTTGACTGTTCAATCTATAAGCATCTCCTAACCAATTGCACCCAACTGTTTCCTGTTCTTTATCTCCCCATTCTTGTGCAATTTTCCGGGCTTTCTGGTAGTAATGAATAGCTGGTTGAATCTGATTGTCTAATTTATAAGCATGTCCTAAACGATTGCACGCAATTGTTTCCTGTTGTTTAACTCCCCCTTGTTGTGCAATTTTCAGGGCTTTGCGGTAGCATTGAATAGCCTTTTGAAGTTGATTACTCAATATACAAGCATGTCCCAACCCATTGTAAGCTTCTGCTAACCTATTGTATGCAACTGTTTCCTCTTCTTTATTTCCAAGTTCTTGGGTAACTTCCAACGCTTTCTTGTAGTAATGAATAGCTGCGTCAAACAGACTCTTATTCTTATAAGCATGTCCGAAACCAATGTAGGCAGCTTTTTCCCGTTTTTTGTCTCCACGCTCCTGCGCAATTTCCAAGGCTTTCTGATAGCATCCAATAGCTTTCTCAAACTGTTTGTTAAATCTATAGGCATCTGCTAATCCATTGTACGCAGCTGTTTCATGTTCTTTATCTCCACGTTCTTGTACAATTTCCAGGGCTTTTGCATGGTATTGGATAGGCGTTTTATTTTTCTTTCTATGTTTCGAGTTTGATTGCCCCATGTTTGTATGCGGTTGCTTACACAACCAGGCCTTTTTATGAAGATTATTGCACCTTTTTTGTTATCTTATTGTTCTAAATAACAAAGTTGAGCAGCAAATTTTTCTCTTGGTGGCTTTTCTTAAAAATTGTCAAAACGTTTTTCCAAACTAGGAAATTCCACACGCTTTCCATATTTCTGAAAAAAAAAGAAACGCGACTAAATACATTGGCTGATAGCAACATTTCAATAAGACAATAAAATTGCATAGTCAATTGTAGCGGACGTAGAGTATAAACCTGCCCTATTTGATACAGAAAACCAGCTGATACTAAGGGTTTTTACTTTCGTTACCCCCAAAACCTACTGCAGCGAAAATCCTGGCACAGGCTGGCCACGTGGCACCCAGATTTTAGTTGTTAAATATGTGACTCGGGGAGGGAAAGTCGTTATCACAACGCAAAACCATTAAACATAAAGTATGTGCTGAAAGACTTCGAACGATTATTTGTTTATTGGCTTTGATTTGATAATATATACAGGTTAAATTCCGACTACAAAATTATTACATAAGAGACTGGAAAATATAACGTTGGAAGTTTAATTGCAACTTTCGTAAGAGCGAAAACAGACAGCACAACAAGACAGCGTTCTTCACGATGGAATCCCATTTCAATGTAAATCGTTTTTTACCATAAATATTAGGGGATTAATACACATACTAGAAAATACATGCATACAGAAACCCTCGCCTTGTGACAAAACCATTGTATTTTCCGAACATGAAGTATCTAGAGCAGTTGTCATGGTAACACGATTATTTTTTAAGAATATTCTTACAAATCGCCTAAAAATATCACTTTTAATTACAAAATTATCAATTTCCCAACTTATATATGTTAGGTATGTTATTATACATAATATAAGCTTCAATTTAACGTAAAATTCAACCACAAACGCTGTTCTTTATAAGTGTTCTTTATAAAACTAAACAAGACAGGGGCGGATTCAGCGTTTTGGGTGACCGGTTTACTAGGTTCACACAATCATTAGGGGGGTCCGGGGGCATGCTCCCCCGGGAAATTTTTTAAATTTGGGCCTCTGAAACAGCATTTCCTGCCTTCTGGCGTCACTTTTTAAATTAATTTAATGATTAGAAAATATATCTTTTAAGAGAATTTTGGACTAACACGCAGCTCAAACGATGAATTGAACCTTTTCGGAAACCTATTAGCTAGTGCTGAAAATATAGGATTGGCAACTGAATTGCTGACGCATCAATAGTTATTATAAGTACAAGTAGAGATGCTTTTAATATAAACATAGTTGTAATTTTAGATCTATACGCTTTCAAACCAACTTTAACAATGAACTAGAAACCAAACTGCAAGAGCGTGAATAAAGCCTCACAAATAATCACAATTATTTCCTGATTCTCTCTCGCCAACGCAATGATTCTGTCACGCAAGATTATACGTACATTATCATATTTCGCGCTGTCATGAGTATAGACTGTAGTTACACGTATAAACATCGATACGCTTGTTGATGAATCGATATTTACTATACAGTAAGTAGAAATAGCTTACCGTTATAACTTTAGACTATATACTTCTAAACAAACCTTCAAAATGAACAAGAAATCCATGTAAATGCTTCTATGGCCAACGCAAAGATTCAGTCACTCAAAATTATAAACATATTTCGCGCGTCCTCGAGTTCTGTTAACTTCCATGCCCAGTTTTCTCTAAATACCGCTCGACTCACAGGTTTATGACCGGTTTACATCCGCCGGAGCACAGCCGTTTAGCCAATCGAATGGCGTATCGACCGGTTTACTCTCATGGAGACAACTCTGACCACCGGTTTACTCATAATTGCGGGCGGTTATGTGTGATTCATGCGATGTTTACAAGTCCACGACCCACGACGATATATTAGCAGATTATTAGTCTAGTATTACAACATTTCGTAAGAGGAAACCAGGGCGATAAGTCCTTAATTAATTTTGCGCTCGGTAATCCATAATCAAATTTCAACAACAGTGTTTATTAAGTAGCTTAATAGATTAGACAACATCAATTTTATGAAACAGAATATTCTTTAAATTAGTTATATACATGGAAGGTTTTTTCTCTCTTTGGAAATCTGACAGGTTTATATAAACCTGTCAAACCTGTCTGAATCCGCCCCTGAAACAACCTTTAATTAAATGGCTTTATCGATAAACTTTGAGTTTGCAATAAAATGATTTCAAATTCTCGCTTGCAAATAACTTTGCTTTCTTTTCTACTTAAAAAATTCAATATAATAAAAAAGGGAATCAATATTAAAGATACACTGAAATTATATGCTGTCTTGTTTAGTTGTTTCATATACGCAAAGCCCGTCGGGTTTTAAACCATTATAAAATCAATATTTAACGTAACTGAACATTTATAAGAATTGATTTAGTAAGAGAAATCCTAAAGTATAGCCTATAGGGCAAGTTTGTTTCAACTGTTTATGTATGACCTTGTATTGGATTATATTGTTCAAGTCTTTCCTATGCATTCTGTGGGAACGTTTCTTAGTTAAATTAACTTTTTAGAAGTTCGTGATAAAAATGAAAGCAAATTATTTTCATTAGCGTCGTGTACAAATTAAATTTATTTTATTTTAAAGTGTGAGTGAATAAGTTGAAGCTAGAGATTACTATCGGCAAAAAGCCATTTCAATTCACATTTAAAAACGTTTTCAATACGTAGAGGTATGTTTTGAAATTTACATTAAAATAAGGCCTAAAGAAACCAAAATAATAAGTCTACTTTATATATTTTAAAAATTGATAGTTCTGTGTTTAAAAGTGTTCAAGTTTCATCTATCTTTTGCAGGTTTGTACAACAAATTTAAAAAACAATTGTCATGACTAACATGACGTGAACAACGCGAGCCTGCGTTCAGTGTTGGCGAAAATGCGAATACTTCATGTTGAAACTATTTCGAGTGAGCTACAGCCCTAAAAACAGGATAGCCCGCATGTGGGTTTTTGAAGGACCGGAAAAGTGTGGTTTTGCGTTTAATACGAAGAACTATATGTCTTAATATTAGTGATAATATTTACCATATTTCTACTCAAAAAACGAACGAAACAACAGGACAGGCTCACGAAAATTGTGAGTAACTGACTTACCATTTATAATCATACAGTATAATCTTACACTTTATCAAGTAATTGTAAACGTATTTTTGTTATAGTTGACTTCTTCGTCTTTGTCACTTTGTGTCGTATATTTGACACATCGATAATCCCCGAGCCGGCGGCGCGAAGCGCCGTGCGAGGGTACTAATCCCCCCCGGCTATTTACACCCGGCGAAACGAAAGCATTAGCGAAGTCTAAAGTTCATCAATGAGCGCGGGCGTCGGTCACCAACGATGGGTGGTCATCCTCACTGATCTCAAAAATATGGCGGACTGTCATGAATAACGGACACTGATTGGTCCAATTTAAAGTTTGCATTATAACGACTGCATGACGACAGCGAAATAGCAAACATTTTTTGATTTGATGAGTTGATGATTGATAAATTTCTTGCAAATATTCTTCATTTTTGCTCGTATTTCTGCAAGATTTTGTAAATTTCAAGAAAGAAAGGGCGAAAGAATCAGCTAAAAGAAGGGGGCCGACCTTAACGAAGGTAAGTTTGTTTTAAATATTGATTTTATAATGGCTTTAAAACCCGACGGCCTTTGCGTATATGAAACAACTAAACAAGACAGCATATAATTTCAGTGTATCTTTAATATTGATTCCCTTTTTTATTATATTGAAAGCAAAGTTATTTGCAAGCGAGAATTTGAAATCATTTTATTGCAAACTCAAAGTTTATCGATAAAGCCATTTAATAGTTAAAGGCAGTTTAGTTTTATAAAGAACACTTTAAAACGTTTTGTGAATTGTTTGTGGTTGAATTTTACCTTAAATTGAAGCTTGTATTACGTATAATTACATACCTAACATATATATGTTGGGAAATTGATAATTTTGTAATTAAAAGTGATATTTTTAAGCGATTTTCATTTGTAAGAATATTCTTAAAAAATTATCGTGTTACCATGACAACTACTTTAGATACTTCATGTTCGGAAAATATTGAAATACAACGGTTTTGTCAGCATGGCGAGGGTGTCTGCATGCATGTATTTTCTAGTATATAAGATATAAAGTACAAAAACAAGTGTGGCCTACGTTCTTTGGGAAGTCCAAGTGAAGTAGCACTTCGAAACGAGAGTGCGAAACAGTCAAAATTTTCGTCAACTAAAGTGGACTTGCCAGCTTGCAAAAATCGGGGAGAAACTTTGGCGACAAACAAAGCTTTCAAGACAACCGACAGCAAATATACAGCGACAGACCGTCCTTTGAATGATCCTGAAGAGCAAGAGTTGTTAAAAGTCGAGGAAACGTAAAAAATCCTTTACTTTGTGTACTTTGTTTACGAAAAAGTGGGAAAATACAAAATATTTGAAATAAAATAGATGCCCCGAGCGTGGACTGTGTGTAAACACGAAAACGAGGCTCATTAAATATACAAAAAAACTGAATATTAAATCACATCGCTCAAATTGCCACCTAAAACTGCTAATTTGAATACTCTTATTGGAAAAAGGGACAATGCTATTCAAACTATAAAGGAATTATTTGAGGAATTTGAAGAAGTTTTTAGTATAGACCCTCAATTAGAAAGATTGGAAAATACATTTAAAATAATTGAAGCGAAATATAGAAATATTAAGAAGCAGCAAGAATTAAAAACTGACAAAATTGTAGAAGATGGTGGGAGTGAAGAGGATCAATTGTTATCGGCTAATCAAAAAGTTGGTAAAAGTTTGAAAGATAATTATTTAAAAGTTGCTAAAGCATATGCTGCTTATCAAAAGAAGCTAAGCCAACCTTCACCCCCTACAGTTAACCCTGATTTATTAGAGGCAATGACATCTGCAGTAACGAAAATGGCTGAAGTTATGCAAGGTTCAAAACCAAGTGCAAGTGGTCTTGAGAAGTTACCAGTACCAACCTGGGATGGTAGTCGTAGATCATATTCAACATGGAAGAAAGAATTCAATCATTGGATGAATAAATGCTCTCAAGACAAGGATGAACAACTCCAACGCTTCAGAAAAGCTATGCCAAAAAACTTTTGGTGGACAGACCAATCTAAGACTTGCAAGTCTATTGATCGTGCATGGGAAATCCTTGATATTGAGTTTGCAGATAAACGAAAGATGATGGACGAGCTATTGGCACGAATTAACAACCAGAAATCAGTGAAAGGCGATTCTAAATCACTTACACGATATGCAACGCAAATAGCAGGCTATGTCAACGACATGGAAGATAATGATTGCTCTGTGACTTCATCGTCTGAAGCCCCATTCTTTATGTCTCAACTTCTATCAAAACTTGATCCAAGGGATAATGCAGAATTTGGTAGAGAGATGAAAAGAAATAAAAAGCAAGAAAATGTTTCAAACCTTGTTCAGTGGCTACATGATGAAGCAAGTCTTAGATCAAGAGGAAAGTTTAATCCCGAAAGCGGCAATGAGGAACGAAGCCACCAACGAGGAATTTACAACAGAAGAACTGACAACCATTCAAGGGACTTTGATGTGTCTAAGGATGGCCCATGTCCATTTGGTTGCGAAGCGAAACACTGGCTAGCTGCATGTCCTCACTATCAATCCTCAACCGTTGATCAAAGATGGGAGATTGTCAAGCAAAATCAGAGATGCAGGAAATGCCTTCGACCTCATCATACCAGAGATTGTAAAAAAGTTGATTGCACCACCTGCGACAAATGCAAGGAAAACCATCATCGATCCCTCCACAATGACATGAAAGGTCCGAAGACTCCAAACCTAGATCCCAATGCGGCCTCATTCCAAGATCCAAACCATAACGCCGTCAATAACAATGCCGTTAAACAGAAGTGTGACATCAAAACAGTAGCGGGACTGCTTCCAATTCAAAAGGTCAAAGTCGAGAATTCAGAAGGCGAGTTTATCGAAATACTTGCCATGTTAGACTCTGGTTCCAATACTAGCCTCCTCTCCAAAGCAGCAGCAAAGAAATTAGAATTGAGTGGACCACAAATGCACTTAACCATGAATCTCGCTGGAGGAAGTAAAAGATCTGAAACGTCAGAAATCATCGGAATAACCCTGATGTCTCCTGTTGAGGAACATGTTAAAAAAAATATTTTGGTACATACTGTCAGCAAACCTTGTAGCAGTGCAAAAACAATATCAAAGAGTTCCTTAGAGAAATACAGACATCTCAAGCCAATAGTAGAAAAACTTCATTTATCTGGCGGAAGCGTTGATTTACTGCTTGGAACTGATTTTACAGATGGATTTGTCGATGTTCATGTAATATCAGGTGAAACCAGTGAACCTATAGGAAAGATGAACTGTTTTGGCTGGTATGTCCTAGGTCAGCTTGCTCCCCACGAATAGAGTATATAGTCCATTGATGTTGGTACAATGAGTGTGAAGAAGAACATTGACATTCTTCTGCAGCATGTTCGACTGGGTGTGAAGCCAACAAAGTTTTGTACCTGCACAGACAACGAGTTACGAGAAAACAAGTTTGTACGATCGTTATCTGAATTAACTACCCTGGTAAACGGTCGTATTCAGGTGAAGGTGTCGTGCATGGAAATCGGCCCACCTAAGAAAAGCAATTACGACATTGCCCTCAAGAGAATCTAATCCACTGAGAAATCCCTTAAAGGAAAGAAATGTACCGATGTTTTTGCTGAAGAAGTCCGGAAGCTGGTTGATGAAGGTTTTGAAGATCCCGTCAGAAAAAGTAGATCACTCGAAGCCCGAATGGTATCTGCCACTATATGCGGTCTTCACTCCTGAAAAAACAACAAAGGTGCGACTCGTTTTCGAATCCTCGTGCGAAGGTCATGATGGTCTTTCGTTGAATGATCATCTCGAGAAAGGCCCCAATTACATCGACGATATTCCAGAAGTCCTCGCAGCGTGGCGATGGGATAATATTGCATGCGTAGGAGATATGAGAAAGATGTTTAATCAAATCCTGGTACACCCGGATGATCAAGTTTTCCTTAGATTCCTTTGGATAGAGAAACCAACCGACGCTTTGGATAGAGAAACCAACCGACGAACCTACTGATTATCAATGGCTCCGTTTAAGCTTTTGTGACAAACCAGCTCCTGACATCGCTAGTAAGTCGATTAAAGTCTTAGCTAAAGCGACACAACCTCAAGAACTTCAAGCAGCAGCCGAATTGTTACAACACGTGTGCGTGGATGATGTTGCAGGATCCAGATCAACAGTTCAAGAAGTTCAACAAGTAACCACTGCAATTGATTCCATTCTTGAAAATGACAGGTTTGAAATCAAAACCTGGCATTCGAACAGTACAGAAATCGACCAAACGGAAGGTGAAAATATCACGGATCTACTTGGCCATAAGTGGGATAATGAAACAGACAAGTTTACTTTCAAAAGAGAGGAAGAGAGGAAATTCCCGAACTGTCTGAAACGCTCACAAAAAGAAATTTTCTTGCACTTTTGGCTAAGCTGCGGGATCCTATTGGCATGATTGCACCCGTCACTATAAGATTCCGGATCGATTTACAAGAACTGTGGTGCTCAGGTTATGGGTGGGATGATGTCACATCAGAGGAAACGCAAAGAAAGTGGAAGGAGATCTAAAGATAATGAATTATCTTCTATCGTTAGAGTTTGACCGCAAGTTAAAACCGATTAATGCGAATGGTCTACCAGAAATCCACGGATTTTCCGACGCCGGTGATCAAGCATACGGAGCAGTATTGTTTCTCCGCTGGGAACTAATAGACGGTAGTTTTGTTTGCGTTCCAGTCATTATCAAGGCTTTCGTGGCTCCAGCAAAGAAGAAGAGCATCCCTGTACGACGCCTGTACGAAGATGTTAACGTTTGCTGATATAGATCAAGCCCAGAAGTTCTTATAGATTGACTCGACAACGATTTTATCCTGGATAAAGACCCCACCCAAAGAGTTTCGACCTTTCGTATCTGCGCGAGTCGCCGAAATTCAGGAAACTGTGGGTTCGGAGGACTTCCGTTACATTCCATCAAATGAGAACCCGGCTGATGCTCTACTCGCGGTCTTGATCCCGAACGTCTCAAAGATTGGTTAACCAGCCCATCATTCCTCAAGTTACCGGAAGCAGAATGTTTACATTCGAAAAACCAGTCTAAGCCAGAAATCGATCCTGCAGAAACCAAAAGAGAACTAAAACCCAAAAGAAGCAACCAAAAGACAAGAAAGTTCACGTTTATCCAACCGTTAATGCCAAGAGAACCGCGAAAAAAGAAAATCCCGAGAACCAAAGTCAAGAGAAAACTACTGAATCGAAAGCGGAAGAAAAGGTAAACCCAAGAGATATGATCAGAAGCACAGAAAAGCGAGTAAATGATTTCTGGTGCTGTTGGATGAAATATTTTGCGTCAAACATTCTACCAAGAAACAAGTGGTTCAGAACAAGAAAAAATGTGAAAGAAGGCGACCTTGTCTTAGAGTTGGATTCAAAGCATAAAAGATGCCAATGGAAGATGGCGATAATTATTGGAACATATCCAGGTCCGAATAAAGAATGCCGATGGAGAATATGACTGGCCAATACACAAACTGTGTCTTATCGCGACAAAGGAGGAACTGAATGACAAGGAGAACTAACCGAAATAGTTGTCTACATTAAGAAAATGTACATTAGCATGTTGATATTTTGTTGTTGCTCAGTTAAGTTCAAAGAACATTATTTCCGCACTGGGGCGAAGTGTTTCGAGTGAGCTACAGCCCTAAAAACAGGAAAGCCCGTATGCGGGTTTCTGAAGGACGGGAAAAGTGTGGTTTTGTGTTTAATACGAAGAACTATATGTTTTAATATTAGTGATAATATTTACTATCTTTCTACTCAAAAAACGAATGAAACAACAGGACAGGCTCACGAAAATTGTGAGTATCTGACTTATCATTTATAATCATTCAGTACAATCTTACACTTTATCAAGTAATTGTAAACGTATTTTTGTTAGTTGACTTCTTCGTCTTTGTCACTTTGTGTCGTATATTTGACACATCGATAATATATAAGATATAAAGTACAAAAACAAGTGTGCCCTACGTCCTTTGAGAAGTTCAAGTAAAGTAGCACTTCGAAACGAGAGTGCGACACAGAAACAATGTTTGGAGAATATAGGCGAGGGGTTGTTGTATGGATGTATTTCTAGTAATGGTATTTAATATTTATACAGAATAACCTATTCAATAAAAATTCACTGTTATCAACCAGGGCCCTGTCGTTAGGTTAAAAATTGTTCTAAAAAAAGTTACACTTCATATATATATATAAACTATGCTATCCTAATAAGGATATAGGCCTATACAGAATATAAAAATCTGTAAAAAAACGTACATGATTCAAATATTTAAGAAATATTTTAAAAATCTTGCCGTCTCCTGTTAAAATGTTCAAAGACATTTTTGGCGGATTCGAGTTGAACTTTAGACAGCCTGATTGACATTTTATTCTTGCGGGTTCCATGTTCACCATCGATGTTTTCAAAATATTTGTCAGAAGTTTGATCAAGGTGAACACCGAGATATAAGTATATGAAGTTGTGTAATTCACCACCGTATTGTTGTACATTATGCTCAACTCATGTTCTTTAATGTTGGACGAGTTTTGCCCACTAGTGCCGAACAGCACGCATTCAGTTTTGTCTTAGTTTTTCAGGTTCACGATTAGTTCGTTCTTCTCAAACCACTCCGTTAATTAAGTGTGACATGTCTTTCGTGAGCTTTTGTTCTATGGTTTTAACAGCCTTGTGAGCATAATACAAAACGCTATCGTCAGCATACGGTGCATTGCAATTTTGAAGTTCTTTACCGAGACAAACACCATTAGAGTGTATCAGCAATTGTAGGGGACCCAAAATAGAGCCCTGCACGTGGGACTCCACAAAATACAGGGTTGACATCAGAGGTACACCTACCAAACATGACACACTGTGTGCGACCAAAAAGATAATTTGTAAACCATTCCTTCTTAACATCAGTTATGCCATATTCAAAGAGTTTACATACTATGGAACTGCGACTAATAGTACCAAAAGCTTTGCGTAGGTCGGCAAAAACTACTCCACATAATTTACCCAAGTCCATTTCCTTACGAATGTTATCCAAAAATAAAGTTGCAGTAAGTTCCGTTGAGTGGTTTTTGCGGAACCAATTTGTTGATTTGATAAAAGCTTATTTTGTTCCGAGTAGAATATCGACATCGTTTGGCTATACACACATCTTTCGAGGACCTTCGAAATTGTTGGTAATATATTATTAGATTTTGTTGGCACAATTCCTGTTGGCACAATTAATTATCTATTTGTGATATGTGCCAAAGGCTTCGCTATATGTCTTGCTACATTCATAAGTAAGCAAGGTGGTATATTATCCAGCCCAGTTGCCTTTTTTCTATTAAGGCTATTTAGATGATTCATCACTGTCGGTACAGAGACATAGACAAAATACTCCATAAACGAGTATTAAACTCTTTATCGACATGACCCTATTATCGCAATGCTTCCAAGTAATGCGCTTTGCCAATTTAATATCTTCGGTTCATTGAATGCTATGAGGACAAAAATACCACCATTCGATTCAGTGTGACTAGATCTCCTCACTCGTAGCAATAGTTTTAGTCATTGGGAACATTATAGCGATTTATGAGCTTTAAAAGTAAAGCGAGATCGTATACGATCAAATTACGCATTTTACCAACAAATTATTATTATTTTTTTTTTTAACAACTTTATTGGTTAATATTTATAAATATGTACAAATAACCAATCGGCAAAGGCGCGAACGGGACTGAAGTACCCATGCGAGGCGCCTTCCCGTTAAAATATAACGTAAAAATAACATAGGTCAACATAAGACTAAATAGTAAATTATACTGTATGTAAAGCCAATTCTCAATGGCAAGAACAGTCACGAGACAGTGTCCATGTGCACGGGAAGTCTATGTCAAAGGATGCATTGAATAAAGTCAGGTATGTTTGCTTGAGTAATTGTTTAAATGATGAGATGTTGGAAAAGCCATGCAGAGGAGCTGATTTGCAAATAGTGTTCCAGAGTTTGACAATCCGGTTGTAAAAGGATGCCTGAAGAGCGTTTGTCTTACAACGTGGAGCTTTCATAACTAAAGGAATCTGGCTGTGTCTGGTGCGGCCATGGCCTATAAATGCAATATTTTTATTGACGTTCACGTCGATGTACCCATATAGGGCCTTGTAGAAAAAGGTTAGGTCTTTGATTTCTCTGTCGTAGCATAAAGGCAATAAGTGGAGCAATTGCAATCTTTGGTGGTAAGACATTTCTTTGCCTTTGTAACCGAAGATCCATTTGGCGAAAAAAACAAAATTATAAAAACATAAAACTTACCTTTCGCCGAACATAACTTCGGCCCCTTGAGACATATGCTCAATGTGATATTCTTGATGAATTAATCATTTAAAATACCATGTGTAGTGTTATTTTCAATCTTCTATCTTTAAAGTGTCACTTTTAGTGCCGAATTTTACATTTCTGCTCCGAATTTGCGATAATCCCAACCGGAAATACGACGAAAACTCGTCAAAACAATGCTACGCTTGTATCGCGTGACTCTAGAAATGCCAGAAATGGATTCTACAGGTCAAAGTGCACCCATACGCGTGAGTTTGACATCATCCCGGCTAAAGCAACTCCTTATTGGCCAAGTATTACGTAATACAAGCGTGTGCGAGTAAAACCCGATACTTTGAAAAATTCAAAATAAATATTTCTACTCGCCGTATTCATACGAAACTTTCTACACTAAAGCGCTTGAATACAACGAGTATTTTACACATATAGCCTTTCAGAAAATGACAAAAAGTTTAGAAGATATTCAACTTTTTCTCTTTTTATCGTTTGAATGTTTGGCGAAGCGGTGAGTATAAATATATGATTGTTCGAAAGGTTATTTTGTGAGGATTACAATGGTGTGTTTTGTTTTAAAGGGGGGTAAATACTCGCCGCGAAATTTGCATTTGAAAAATTGAATTGTAATGTAACGCGAAACCACTTGTCGACAAAGAGATTTATAGTAATATAGGTACCGAAAGCGTTAACATATTTGTTGACATAGCGCTACTAACCACACCTTAAACTTGACAGGTAATAAAAGTTGTTTTTCTTAATATATATTTATAGACTACAAAATGGTGTCGAGTTCGAATGTTTATTACACAGGATACAGTCGAGATTTTATAGAGCTCGTAAATCGTAATTTCGTAATTTAAACATTTATTACACTACCCGGGGTTGATCACCTTTGCTGATCAAAGTCCACATAACTGTTTCAGTTCCTATATCTAGTGCGATTCCATAATAAACAGAATGTAAAATGTTAAGAGTCAGTTACTTCATATTTGAAGATCTCCTTCTTGCTTCTCCTGCCATGGCAGTTGTTCGACGACGTTGTCGATAATTCAGTTTTTCTTTATTGCTAGTCGTAGTCTCGTTCTTTTCTTCTTCACCTTCGTCCATTATTGTTGCTTCGTTGGATCGCACTTCGATGGGAATAAGTTGTTGTGTGACTCTCTTTAACAAAACGGGTTTTCTTGTGTCGTTAGCCACTTTCACAACAGCAGATCTTATTGTTCAATCTCTTCCGGGTAGTAATTCTTCGATCTTAGCTAGTTTCCAAACATTCCTTGAAGTTGAATCGTTCTTGAGTATAAGGATGTCTCCTACGGATATATCAGGTTTCTTATCGTGTCTGGACTTCACTTTATGATTCTCGTGTAAACTCAAAAGATAATCCCGTTTCCATCTTTGAAGAAATTATTGTAGTAAGCGTCGGTGATGGCGCGATCCTCTTGTGAGGGTTTGATTTGTACTTATTACATCGTAATGTTATTTATTTATTTATTAACTTTACAACCATACATAAAATAGACTAGAATACTACATAATATGGCTGAAGGTATGGTCAACAGGACATGAATAGCCCCATATGAAGATCAATAATGTGTAATGTGTCTTATGCTTAGAATCGTTGAGATCGACTTTCTGTTGATCAAATGAGAAGGAGTTAGGGCATAACTTATAGCTTCTCTGTCATGATAAATATACGTTATGGGTCAAGAATTGATAACTCGTTCCACTTCAACTAATACAGTATTCATTTCGTCGTAACTACATAAATGTTGATCTGCCTTATGTTTTCTTGAGTGCTTGTTTCACCATCTTTATTCTCCCGATATCCTCCCCACCAACGAGCTTTAGGTACAATAAATTGCCAGGATATTCGATGATTGATCACTTAATCACGCAGCACACAAGATCGTGTGAATCGTATAGACGCACTTTCAAATGTCTTCGCATTGTCGACGTAACGGTCGAGGGCAGTCCTCTTCTCGCAGCGAATCGACGAAATGCCTTAAAGAAAACTTCGACGCTCAAACTTCTTGTTAATTACAAATGTATTGCTCGCGTCCAGGCGCAGGTGAACAGGCTAATGTAAATGGTTTCTTGGTTCGGTGTTCCGTTCTCTTGACGTAAGTAAAGTGCGTCAGCGAAGTCGACACCGGAATGCGAAAACAGTGCGTCTTTGGATACTCTTGATTCTGGTAAGTCAGGTAAATTTCTTGGTTTGTAGGCGACACGTATTATCTAATATCTTTCTCTTATCCTAGAAAGTGTAGTGTTTATTCCACTGTGATATGCTTGTTCGTGTACATTCTTGACTATGAGATCGGTAAAATGATGTTTTGACGGCAAAATAATTGGATTCTTGGAACTGTCCAATAAAGGGGCGTTATTCCAACCTAAGAATTCCATCGCTATCTAAATATAATCCCAATTGCGTCACGTAAATTGGGGGAGTTGTTTTCATGTTCTCTTTTCAATGAACGAGATCGCGTGCGCACGCTCGCACGTACGTGAAAAAGCTCTCCAAAATTTGAATTTTAGTTGTTAAATACGTTTGACTTGAGAAGAAATTGCATAAATTTTGGTGGATAAAGACTTGTTCTTTGGACAACTTATATCTGTTTGTTGACATTCAGTTTTCTTTGGAAAGTATCAGTGGGGAAATTATTTGGATAATTGAAACTTTTGTTTATCTGAAGGACAAAGAAGCCGTTGAAATATCAGACGGGCGTGTGATCACGACATAGTTTGCTGACGCTGTTTGTATTCCTAACGAACTTCCGCACGCCATCACAGAGCTTAAATACTTTCAGAACACAATTAACGACTGAATTTATTCAATTATAAATTAATTGTAAAATGGTTCTAATCAATCGTAAATCTTTGATTAAATTGGTAATGTGCCAACTTACATGTTCCTTTATCATTTGGATATCTACGAAGTCATTATCCCTAAACCATCTACAAGATCTACGCTTGATCAAACCACTGTACGATAACCTTCCAACACAGATAAGGTATCAAACCACAATAAATTCTACTATCAAGATAAAAAGGGCCCCAGCACCCACTAACTTTTACTACAATTCCACCGCAACTTTCAGGCCTACAATACAATTAATGCACGACATTGAATTGAACCCTGCACCAACAAACCAAACTCACGAAAACGGTTGTTTTGATCCTCCTAAGAAAACCAAAGGATTGATAATTGGCCACCTAAACATCCGAAGTATTAAATGTGCAACTAAATTGGATGAAATAAAAGCACTCTTAATTCGGAAGCCTACCATTCACGTCATTTCATTCTCTGAAACTTGGCTCAATGACTCTTGGCCGGACGACATGCTCTACATCCCCAATTATACGTTTATTCGACTCGATAGATCTTCGAACACTTCCGGTGGAGGAATTATCACTTACATCCATAACGACGTGCCGTTTACCCATAGAAGTGACTTAGGCTCCGAGAACATTGAAACTACGTGTATTGAGGTCAAACCCCATTATGTATCACCAATCTTATTACTCAACGTTTACAGACCACCATCGGCAGACAGTTCTCATGACTACTGCTTGACAGAAATTATGGAGAGAGTAGCGTCAGAAAATAAGGAATGCTGTGTTCTTGGGGACTTTAATATGAATGTTCTATGTCAAAAATCGAAATCTAGCGTCTTCTTGAAACGTATACATCAACTCAGGCTCAAACAACTAGTCACAGTGCCAACGAGAACGGAAGCTCGATACGTGAACGGATCATTCAGTGTCACTTCAACGCTCATTGACCACATCTACTGTTCATCTGAAAGAAATGTTGCGTCAATACATGTACCACCACTTTCTCTGAGTGATTACTATCCTGTCTTCCTCGTACGCCGTTGTAACGCTTCCATGAGATCAAAACAAAATGAAAAGAGCACTATTCAATATCGATCCTTATCCAACTTGAACAAAACAGATTTTCGTGAAGATCTACGTCTGCCCCCATGGTCCTCAATTGAAGCATTTGATGATCCATCTGACGCCCTGGTACGAGTTCTTCCAGAGTGTTGTTGAACGACATGCCCCTCTCCGAACGAAAAGAGTCAAATCCTTACAGCTGCCTAAGTGGATGACGCCTGAAATTCTGTCTGACATAAAGAAACGAGATCAGCTAAAAGCAAAAGCTCGAAACGGAACAATATCATGGGAAATGTTCATGGGCGTACCGGAAGGAAAAAATTGGGGGGGCGGAAAGAAAATTGCCCGACTTTTCGGGATTTTGCCCGACTAGTACCAAAAATTTTTTTCCGGAAAAATTATTTTGGCGACCTTTCCCCCCCCCCGTCGCCAAAAAAATTTCGGTCAGTGTACCATTTTAGGGGTCAAAAAATTTTTCCGGACAACAAATTTTTTCGGAGCATAACACATATTTTCGAAAAATCACAAAATTTGCCAAAAAATTGACTTAATTTCAGACAAAATTGACAGAATTTGTCCCATTTTTTTTTATTGCAAACCAAAATTGCCCGACTGTTGATCGAATATTGCCCGACTGCCCAAAAAACTGGGGGGGCTACCGCCCCCCCCCCCGCCCCCCCGCCCGGTACGCCTATGGAAATGTTCAGATCATGTAGGAACAGAATATCATTTAACATTAAACATTAAACAAGCGAAAAAGAATTACTTTGCACACGAAATTTTACAGAACAAACATGACTCGAGGAAACTATGGAAAGTGATGAAAGAAGCGGGAAACTTGAACTCCAACAAAACAACACCAAACGAGATAATCGATAATGGAGTTTCGGTCACAAACCCAGCCATAATTGCACAGTTGTTTAACTCGCATTTCTCACAAATTGCAGACTCTGTCATCCATGATACAACACATCACGAACCAAATTTAGAACCACTTCGACAATTTGTGAAAACTCACCTTCCTGATAACCACCACTTCACGGTTCCAGCCATGTCTGCAGAATACCTTCTGAATGCAATCAACAACTTGTCGTGTAACAAAGCAAAAGGAGTTGACTCGATAAACATCCACCTTCTTCAAGTCGGCTGCAACGAAGTCCTCCCATCCCTTCTCTACATCTATAACACCAGCATAACCTCGGGTATTTTTCCAGACCAGTGGAAAATCAGCAAGATCACACCTGTGTTCAAAAAAGGCTCGCGACAAAATAAGGATAATTATAGACCTATCGCTGTTTTGTCTGTGCTATTTATCTTTTATGGTCTACATCTACTTGGTTACCTTCAAGAACACAACTTGCTCACCAGTTCCCAATTTGGATCACGACCTTTCCACTCTTGTGAAACAATGTTACTCCAACTTACAGACTCGCTACTTAATGATATGGACAAAGGAAATCTCAGCGGAATTCTTCTTATAGACTTCCGGAAAGCTTTCGACCTTATAAGCTATGACCTCCTACTACAGAAACTTGCCATTTATGGTCTTAAAGATTCAACACTCCAGTGGTTCAAGTCTTATCTCACGGAACGAAAGCAATTAGTGTCCATCGGACGTGCATGCAACTTCAGATCTCCTACCAGTACATACCGGTGTTCCACAAGGTTCATCACTTGGACCACTTCTCTTCATTTTATTCATCAACGACATACCACTTGTTAACAAAGAATGCAATTCCTACATCTATGTAGATGACACCTCCTTCTCCTTTATAACAGCATAGCAAAGCCAACACTCGAGTATTGTTCTAGCGTTTGGGGTAATTGTAGTACAGACGCTCCTAGACGTGTAACATCTGCCCAAAAACGTGCCGCGAGGATTCTTCTAAACGCTGATTACACTATCCCATCAATAACATTATTCAAAGAAATCAACCTTATCCCAATTCATGACACCATTCGCCACCGGATGCTACTACAGACGTTCAAATGCATACATGACATCAGTCCACCATGCCTCAGCACCCTCATGGAAAAACCAACCCACCACCATTCAACAAGAGCTAATGCGAATAATAATGTCCACATCCCAAAAGCAAGATCTAACGCAGGAAAACGACGATTTTCATTTATGGCATCTACCTTATGGAACAGTTTCCCTAATGAGGCAAAGAAAATAACATCGCAGCCGTCATTCAACACATATTGCAAAAGTTACTTTAGTCAGAAACTCGCGAGTTCAACTAAACTTAACAGCATAAGGCTTTATTAAGACATCTAAAAATATCATTAATAATTAATTGTTTAATATAAGTATATAGTCCAATAAGTATCAGTGACAGTGTATTTCTCTGCGAGGGGGGCGCCAGCCCCCCAGTTTGTTCGGCAAACAAAGCCAGTCGGGCAATATTCGCTTCACAGTCGGGCAATATTGGCTTATTATAAAAATAAATGGGACAAATTCTGTCAATTTTGTGGGAAATTCTGTCAATTTTGTGGGAAATATGCTATCTAATAGGAATTTTTCGTAATCACTCCTCCCCCCCTGTCGACAACAATTTTGGAAAGTTTCTCGGGAAAATTGTTTTTGACAACTCGATCACAATCCGAAAAATTCGGGCAAATTTCTTTCCGCCCCCCTAATTTTTTCCTTCCCGTACTTATGAAGTACATGCCTAATGGCGCAATAAGGATAAAAATACCACCGTTCGATTCAGCGTTTATACGAATGAGAAATATTTGTGCCTACAGATGTCAAATGTATTACTAAACAACTGACAACAGTATTCTAGCGATTTATGGCCTTTGTCTTTGAAAGCGAAGCGAAATTGTATTATTTGTTGACAAATCGCTAAATTATAAAAAATGCAGTACGTTTGATCCTTGATAACTTTGGTATCGTTGGTTTTCTCTTTTTCGGCCGTATACCAGTGGATTCGTCTCACTTCTCTCTTTATTTTGATAATATTTAGATATTTTGAGCCCAAAAGCCCCAAAATATTTTAGTATGGACGTTTTAAACTGGCGGCCGACAGAAGAATGTAGCGTATTATAAAAATATATAACTTTACTTGTGGGCCATAAACGCCGGAAGTTTTATTTGTAGGGTACGCATTTTAGTGTGTTTTAAAAGCTTTCGCGCTCGTATTCGACTTTCCCGCTTCGCTCGGGGCCAGGCTTAGATCTTAATTGAAATAGCTGTGTGCTGTATCTGGTATCATATACAGTAATGTGCGTATTTGTATAGCCCCAGCGAGTTAACGCTCCATAGAGCGTCTTGTTATTATTAAATCAACACAAAGTATATATTTTTCAGTCTGACTCAATGTCAGATGATAAGTAGGATTCAGTATCCATGGAACTTTTGGAGTACAAATCTGATACATCTGAATTGTCAATGCTAGCAAGCTCACACCATTAGAACATGATGACGAAGTGTCACATTGAATGATTTATTTTTTTCTGTTTGAAATAAACCAAAAACAAAATTTTCAGTTCTTACTCTCAGCCCATCGCTAGTGTGTAAGAATCAGAAAAGACTGGTGATGAATCAGAGACTGCAGAAAAAGTTGAGGATATGGTTACCATTACAAGAAGTGGGAGAGTTATCACAAACTGGAGAGTTTCAAAATATAGATAAACGCAAGACAAATGTTAAAACAGAATTAATGATAGAAAAGGGGGGTATGAAAATTTTCACTTACTTTGAAGGGGGTTACGAAAATTTTTCCATAGGTTTTTGGGCGGGTATGGAAATATGAACTTGAGAAATTTCATTTATCCTCCACCTCCCTCTAGTAATTACTTTATGACCGGTCCCTTATATCACATTATAACTACAAGTGACGATACCAAAACATCTGATTCAGGAGTGATTGCTTTGGGAATAAGTGACCGTGATCTGGTGTATATTTGTAGGAAAATAGGAGTACCCAGAGAAACGCCGAAAATAGTAGAAACAAGGCAGTTTAAAAATTTTAACGAAAACGAATTCCAACAAGACTTAGCACAAGCGTTTAACTACTTTGCACACAACTCTGATCCAAATCTTGCCTTGCAGGAGTGGAAGCACATATTTTACGCCTATCTATAAGGAAGGTGACAAAAGTGAATGCGGAAATTACAGACCTATATCCGTCATACCACAATTTCAAAAATATTAGAGAAACTAGTTTATGACCAACTTCTCAATTTTCTGAATAACAACAAAATATTCACAAAACGCCAATCTGGCTTCCGTAAATATCACTCTACTGAAACTGCTCTCTTGCAATCAACCAATGAATATTTAATGAATATGGATAGGGCTTAATAAATGGTGTCTTGTTTCTTGATCTGAAAAAGGCATTCGATACAGTCGACCACAAAATCCTTTTTGCAAAACTTGAACTATATGGAATTCAAGGTGTAGCCCTTAACTTCTTCAAATCGTACTTAACCAATAGGAGTCAATTATGTACAGTCCAAGGTACAAATTCCCAACTGAAAAAAATAAGGTGCGGAGTTCCACAGGGATCAAACTTAAGACCGTCATTATTCTCATTGTATATATAAACGATCTTCCTAACTGCCTCGAACAAACAGAGGCATCTATGTTTGCAGATGATACAAATATATCAAGCATTGGTAATTCACCTGCGGACATAGAAGTGAAACTAAATAACGATTTGTATAACGTCAATAACTGGTTAATAGCAAACAAGCTTACTTTAAACGTTAAAAAACTGAATTTATGCTAATAGCCTCTAAACGAAAATTGAAACAATTCTCATATGACCCATGTATACTGATTGGTAATCACAACATGAAACAGGTGACCAATAAGAAAGTACTGGGAATTACTTTAGACGATGAACTGAGATCGCATAAACACAATGATCTTCAATGCAAAAAAAACTATCCAAGAGCATTGCCTTACTAAGACGAGCCAAACGGTTTGTTAACCAAAACGTATATTAATTAACATGTACAACTCACTAATCTTACCTCACTTTACTTATTGCTCCAACGTGTGGAATGACGGCAGTCGTATACATACAGACAAGCTTTTAAAAATGCAAAAACGAGCGACTCGAATTATCACAGGGTCAACTTATACGAAGTAAGATCGAAAGATATATTTAATATCTTACACTGGGAACCAATTGAATTATTGAAACCACTCTTAAGAAAAGAGAAATGATAATGACATTTAAGAATTAAGGTCTTACAAGGCCAACTGCCAGAATTTATGTCCAATATCTTTAAAATTTGCCTAAATGATATGTATCCGTTAAGAAGTAATAACTGCAAACTTTATTTGGAAAAACCTAAAACAGACTTCATGAAGAAATCGTTTTCATATCGACTATCGAGGTGGTGCATCACGGAACAATCCTCCAAATGATGTTGCCAACAACTATAAAGAGCTCTCCATAAGTAACTTCAAAACCTTAATCAACAACTATTTCACCAATTTGGAGAGGAATAGTGTGTGACAACCACTTGTGGGGCGGATTTTGAATCGAAGGAGTAATTTTTGGGTCTGGGAGGGTTAACATAACATACTATTTCTAGTTAGATATGTGATTCAAGCTAAGTTATAAAAATAGTGTTCACTGGGCTTTCTTTTTATATATATTTAGTATGTAATAGATTTTTCATATTTGTAAATATTTTAACGGCCCCTTGAAAAGCAGTTTAAACTGAAGGGCCACCGTTTTTAAATAAGATGAGAAAAAAGAGCTTGAAAATTCCACTCAACTATGTAAGTTTTGTTTGTCTTGTTTAAGGGGAAGGTTTTTCCATTTAAAAAAAATAATAAAAGCCATATTTTTCAACCAAAGTCAACTTTTACTTTATGTAGCGCGGCGCCAGCCTCGTCCCCAGGCGCTTTGATTTGCTGCGCCGTTTCGTGAGAAATGGAAAATTGGACGGGAAGCAGAGCCGTCCACTGCCGGCGTCGCGCCACGAACTCGCGTGTCTATGTTGGAGCCTGGGGACGAGGCGCCATATTTGCTTTGCTTTGAAGCATCCTGTGACCGTTACTTCTTTAAACTTTACTGCTTTAAACTGATTGGTTGATTTTGTCATCACATTCGGTTTTTTCACCAATCAGATCAGTTTGTTACAGATTTTTGCACTGTGATTGCAGAAAATTGCACTGTGATTACATGCAGAAAATTGCACTGCTGTTTGGGATTAACTGCATTGAAATCAACCAATTACAGTCGAGTAATATCTTTATGTATGTTATAAAATACGATATTACACTTACCATGCTTTCTTTCTTTATATTTGGCAATGTTTTGCTTCATGACAAAGCCAAAATCCAGTAAAATTTTGTTTGTCTTCCTCTCGCCTCCGCCGAGGCTTACATGAAGTTTCTAGCACAGAGTAAAGACATACAGAGACGTAACTGACCGTCGTAAACACTGCGGAAGATTATGTTATCATGTACCCACTTTTTTTCAGGTGACCAGGCGAAAAATGATCAACTGCGCGTGCTCAGCAAGTTTAAAGTGAGTCGTCATCAGGTCGTCATCCAATCAGATGCATGCATCTAGTAACTTGCCGAGGCGCACAAAAAAAGTGGGTACACTAGTTACGTCTCTGTATGTCTCTACTCTGTGTTTCTAGTGAGGGAAAAGTGAGCGCGCAAGGAGTGATGGGAAGACACCGCGCGCGCTCACTTTTATTCAGGAAACTTCATGTAAGTTATTTGTAAATACTTAATAAGGAGGCTCTACGGAGAGAGAGCCTTGTCTTCGCAAATTTTGGGAAACTTTTAAAACCAAGATTTTTCGCGAAGGCCTGGTCGCTAGGTTTTGAGCGCTTTCCGAAAAAAATACGCGACATTTTAAAATTGTTATGCATTTGCACTAGGTTGGAGTTACAGGTGGAATAAAAGTAGCGGTCTGATAGGTCATAAAATCAACTATCCTAAAGGGCCGCGTCTTATGTTTATAACTTTGTAGTCAACACAACCCCAGTTAGACACAACTGAACTAACCTGCGATCTTAGAAATATTGGAAGGCCATCAACGAGTCCCGCATGGAAAAACTTCCCCTGTTAGAAAATATTTATTTCTTTACCCTTCAATTTGACATCATTTAATTCACAAAAAAGGTTTCAAGCTAAGATTTCATGGTTAGATTTTGTTTGACATGCAATATCCATTTCGACATTAAGAAAATATCATCTATGTTATGTTCAGCTAATAATTAACACCCACAATTACAGTATGTACATAGTTAGATAATCAGTACAGCAAATATCCACTAACTTACTTTTCGATATGATCAAATCAGTCATTTCAGTCCTAGTCATAATTGTATCAAAAGAGTTCAGCTCGACATTTTGGGCGTAAGTAACAAGTCAGTTAGACTGTTAGGTATAGACACAACATTGTCTATATCGCAATCTCAACATCAAGAGCATTCAGGACATCACCAATATGGTTCGCTAGACCCGAATTGGTCCTATTATCAGCAAAATACAGACCAATAGCTTTATTATTCTCTCTGTTGATTAAAAGAGAACCCGAATTCCCACCCCCTACTGACGACGCAGAAAACAAGATCTGATTTTCGACTCTTCGATCGCTAACAGTTCCCGACCAGTCAACCGATGAAACTTCACCTTGATTGACAAGACCTGAAGTACGGCCATAGAACTTAATCTTGGTTCCGACTGCAGCTTTTTCAGTGCCAGTTACAGATGTGCCATCTTGAAGTAAAAACTTGTCAATGTTGCTGCGGAGTGGAGCATGACCACAGTCGACAGCTGTTGTGAGCACGACCTTTTCAACCGTACCGATGTAATCGTCTGCGGTACCACCATCTGGTATTGCTGGACTAATAAGTTGGGTTCCTACGCTTTGCACTACGTGAGCATTGCTCAGGATACCAACTGTTTCCCCCTGCTTGACAAAGTACCCAAGTGTGCCAGCCCCATCAAATGTCATGGGTCCTAGGCTGTCCCCACCTCGGAGTGTATCCAGTGGTCTCAACTTAACAACTTCCTCTGCTGTAAGCTCACGCGGGCTCTATAAGAAAAATTGACGAAATAGTAATTTAGTGCGAGCAGAAACAGAGCCAAGGGAGAAGCGAACACAGTTAGTGGATTTGGCAAATACAACTGCAAGCAACGTCAATGAAGATGTGATCATAATTTATAAGACAAACTAGGAGACCTTTGCCGCTTGCTTTTGGAGTTCGGTGGTCGCGAATCACGTAAAACTGCCGTAACTCGCGGCATTGGATTAATGATAATAATAATTTATTCATTTAAATAGAGCGCACATAGTTTATGTAAAATACTCAAAGCGCTGTACATTGTAAAAAGCTAAAAAATACAACATCTAGTGGAAAACGGAATCAGAATAAAATATACTATAACTAATGACTGACGCAAAATATAGACTAGCGAGTATGTACATCTACGATAAGAATGATAAAATACGTGGTCATTGCAGCATGCGCAAATGACCGATCACCTAAGGCTTACAGTTAGTTTTCGGGATGCGTAGCAGTCCTTGATCATCCGATCTTAATATCCAGCGATCGCTTATGGTTTTGGGATGAGCAATTCAGAATGTAAATAGGGGCCATGTTGTTAAGAGCCTTGTAAACCATAACAAAGCAATTTCGAATTCCAGGAAACCCCGTCATGACATGGAAATTCAAGGAAACCCCGTCATAACTTGTGCGTCATTCCTCAAACTCGAAATTCGAGGAAGGACGTTTCTGTAGACTCAGGCTCTCAATAGAGCGTTTGCACTCATTCCCCAGGGACTAACTCAACAAAAGCCATGGCGGCCATGTTGGTGTTCCAGACAAAAAAGTCTAATTAAAATTATTTTGAATTGGAACACCAACATGGCGGCTGTGACGTCGTGTGCAAACGCTCTACAGGGTGTCCCAAAAAAACCGAAAACTATTGAAATCACTTATTGTTAAATTTGAATGCCCTACCAAACAGCTGGACGTAATGATGCGTAAAATATTACAGATCAAAGTCTTAGTGTTGATAAAGTGTCGTTCGCTTATTCTAGCAAAAGTAAACATGTCCAAAAGGTCAAACGGATCGAAAACCTGCGTTGTTTGCCGTGGTTTCTTATCAAAATGCTTGCGATTCGAAAATATTTAATCTATCGTTCTAGCGGCTTTTTGACTATTTGCGCAGTAGGTCTCAGTCCATTTCTTTGGGATATTTTTCCGAACCGGAGGTTTAAATGTGGCATAAGCGTGTCCTGCCCGGGCTTATCAGTGATGAGCCCGGGCAGGACACCAGGGCTAGGGTTATTGCATATTAGGTAACATATGTGCGTTTGTGTGGCTGTAAATATATTTGAAGTCAGCTACCTGTTCAGTCGTTTGGCTCAGGGTTGCTGGCCAACTAAATCCTTCGCCCAACTTTATCTCTCCCTCAAATACATCCACAGCAAAGCCATCAATCTCTTTAGGAAGAATTTTACCTGCAGGTATCTCAGATTCTGGTTTCTTCTCTCTTACCCATATAACGAGGCAGAGGTCATTTGTTTTCTGAGCGCGGACGGTTTTGTAGTTGATATCGACCGCGGTGACATTAGGCCAGTTAAGCAAGCGGTCGACATGCTTGCGTTTCACGATTCGTAGTTTCTCTGTCGTCTCAGCCATTGTTTTTCAGTGGAGGCACCCGACAATTACCCAATAACTCTGCGGGTCTTTTGTAAATACTCTAGTGGGTAAATGCTCTAGTGCGTACACGTCGTCATACATATCCGGTAACAAAAAATAGATACGTATGGCGTACCTGCGTGTACTCGGATTGTACTGATATTGTATTGATACTGATTATTGAGCTAAATATGTGTAAATTTATATATTGTATTTCCCGAACACATGTACAATAATAGTCTTTCAGTTAATTATTACGCCCGAAGGCCCATGCCTAATAGCCTGCAAACAGGCTTGCTATTTACGAGTATCTATCACAATGTAAACTATAAATGTCAATATATCACACCACTCCCCCCTTTAAGTATTATGTGTATTTTTCTGGAGGTCTTCGAATTCTTTCTGGATATCTTCTCTCTGGTTGCGTTTCCTCTTGTCTGCTGTCAGATTCACTGTCCTCACTGGTACCCAGTGCTGGGTGTCCAACCCCATTCTTCTTTGGTGGATTCCTTGACTTTGGTTTCTTGACAGGTCGAATCTGATAAGGTTTAAGGTAATTGTAATGGACAATTTCTTCTTTAGTTCCATTATTCCTTCTCACTACATAAGATGTTTTGGTTACCGACGTGGGCTTTATCACGACATAGGGTCCCGTCCACCGATCTGCAAATGTTTTTGCTCGTAAATTTCTTTTCCAAACTTGTTGACCCACCCCCAACGATTTAAACGAAGTTTTACTGTTGTACCGTTCTCTGCGTTTTTCCGCTAACTTGGCATCGGACTCTTGTGCTTTTTGGAATACCTCACTAACAGTCTCGCGCAGTCGTTCCGTTTTCTCTCTAACCGTTGCTGGTGATATCTTCTCTGTTATAATTTCGAATTTTGATCGCGGGTGCTCCTTGAAAACTAGTTCGTACGGCGAAACTCCTGTACTTGTATGAACTGCTGTGTTGTATGCTAGTTGTACGTCAGGTAGGTGTTGAGACCATCGGTTGGGATGTTTATCTACCAATTTTGTGAGTGCTTCCCCCATCGTACGATTAATCCGTTCTACACCCGCGTTTCCTTGTGGCCTATAGGGTGGACTGAAAGTATGCTCAATGCCTTGGGTTATGCAAAACTGTTCAAATGTTTCGCTTATGAAACAAGGCCCATTGTCAGAGTGCACTTTGTTTGGTAAACCATATCTTGATATCCAACCCATGAGTGTCTTACAAACAACTTGGCTGGTTTGTCCTCGAATTGGATGCATCTCTGCATATTTTGTACATGGATCTGTTATCACAACAATATTGTCAAATCCCTCTTTTGTTCTCGGTAATGGACCCTTGAGATCTACTTCTATCAACGCAAATGGTTTCTCTTCTTTTGGTCGTTGATGAATGGGTGCTTTTCTATGTCCCTGGGCAAGAGTAGCAGCACAGCGTTGGCACGTTTTTGCATAGTTCTCTACTTCTGCTTTCATCTTTGGCCACCAATAATGAGGTTCAATTCTTGCAAGCATTTTATCTGCTCCTTGGTGCCCTGTTTCGTCATGAGCTAATGATAATATGGTGGGAACAAGCGATGCTGGAAGTAACACTTGCTTCTTATGATCTCGTGTGAATAAACCATGTTCGTTTCGGTGAGTGGAAATATGTGGCTTAAGGGTTGGGTCACGTTCTTGCTGCACTTGGAAATCATTTATGTCCAACCTTACATCTTTGCACGGACCAATCTCGTCTTGAGAGCCACCAATAGTAGCCACTTTACTAGTATCCTCATCTCTCTCTTCCCACTTGACATTCCATCCGATCCGACTAAGAGCATCTGCCATGTGATTATCCTGCCCTCGAATAAACTCTATGCGTGGTTCGAATTCTGCTATATCTCTCATCAATGTCGCTCTTCGTCCAAATGGATCTTTCTGTTCCAGGATCTTTAGAAGAGGTTTGTGGTCGGTCCTCATCACTACTTGTGCTCCTAACAGATAATACCGAAAATGCTTAAGCGTGTCTCGCATAGCCATCACTGCTCTGTCATAAGTTGGATATGAACGTTCTCGTTTGGTCAATGCACGACTGAAATATGCAACCGGATGTAATTGTCCTTGCGCATCTTCTTGTGATAGTTCACCACCCAGACCCACTTTACTTGCATCCGTGGTAACAACAAAGGGTCGAGTGGGGTCAGGATGGGCTAATACTGGAGCTT